CTCTTTCAAACTAAATAGTTCAATACCGTCCTCAGTGTCTGGAACAATTTATCCAAAACTCCAAAGTTGGACAGGAAATACCAGTTATGCCTCACTCAACTCACATACTAGTAGTATTCATCACATTAGCTTGTGTTCACCAGTCAATTTGTAATATTACCAGCAATCCCTGCATATTCTGAAAGGAAAATACTATCCTCCAATGACAACTCAAACTGAGCTGACAACATCATTTTAGTCTGCATAAAAACAAAGAAAACCTTTTCATATTTACCATGAAGAAGTGAGTATTGTGAACTTCCTCATTTAGATTTTTGCATCTCTTGAGTCATTTTCCATAACAGATCAATTTCCTTTAGAAGGAAATTGAAAATAAACATAGGCTTTAGTGTTAGGGAAGACAGTCTTGCAGGATTCATCTTTGTGTATTGAAAAAAAAAAAAAAAGCAGTGTTTTAGAGTAGAGCAATCTTGAGTTAGAAGAGAGTCAGATTTTCACAAATTAGTCTAAATTAATTTTATTATTTGGGAAGCAAATAATAATGATGATGATGATGATGATGATAATAATAATAATAATAATAATAATAATAATAATAATAATTTGAAGGAATCCTAGATAATGTAGTCCATTTCCTGACAAGGCACTTGTTACATAACCTCACTATGAAAGGGTCCAGCTTGCAATTAAAGAAGCCCGTGTTCCTAGTGCTACCCATCTGATCTACTGCTGCCAGAATTTCACATATTTGGACAATATGTTTATTTTTATTTTCAGTACTGAAGATTGAACCCAAGGTTAAATGTATGGTAGATAAGCATTTACCATGAGAAGTATCCTCAGTCCCCTAAACACACAAACCAAAAAAGAATAATGTCTTGCTAAGTTGCCCAGAGTTGCCTGAAACATGGGATTCTCCTACCTCTATGTGCTGAATAGGTAGGATTATTGGCATGGCCACCATGTCCTGTTATTTGGACAGTGTTTCTAGGGGAACTTTACTTCATGAGCATTCATCTTAGTTATGATCATAGTATCAAACTGGGAAACATTTAAAGTTATTCATATCTTGAAATTTATACCTAAACAGCACTAACTCCATCTGCATGATCATCTGCCCCACTGTCATATGCCCTCATCTTTCTCTCTTATTTGGATGCTTCAGTTTCCAAGTTGCTTCATGACCATCACTCACCCTGTACTCCTCAGCCACCCATTATGCTGGACTATAGCTGTTAAAAATGTGTTTGAGTGATTCAGAACAAGGTGCAAAGAGCAAGTTCTTGTCAACTTCACAGAAGAGCCCATTTTTGTCCCCGTGTGTCCTGCAGAGCTGCCCCCCACAGCTGCTCTGAGAGTGAGGTGTGGCCTATCTGGCAAGCAAAGCCAGCTTCTTGAGGACAATGTTGGTTTTGAAGTCTACTTTCTCTGCTATTTCTCTACACTTCTGGAAGCACATTGGTGTTTGGGCTTCCTCCCAGCAGAGGCAGAGGCAGGGTCAGCAAAAGGTGTTCTCACAGTCTATGGTAACAGGTTGTAAGAAGTAATTCATGCAAATGGAGCATGTGAGTGCACTCTGGAAGTCTTGCAAGGCCTTTGAATCCATGTTTCTGAAACTGAAAATATAAGGGAAGTGGGTAAGAGGAAAAAGGGAAATAAGAGAGACTTATCCTTCTGCTTGATGAGGAAATAAAAAACATAAAAGAACTTTGGACAGCTCTGCTTGTTCAGTTGAGTTGTGCTTAAAGTTTCTATTAACTTCTATCAATACAATCTAAATATGGAAAATATAGAGAGGCTGGGTTTGTTTTGACACAAATGAACAAGATGAGATGAGCATGATCTTTATTTTAAAAAAGAAACTTTCTTAATCATTTGGATAAGTTCAATATTTGGACAAAGAAGAATGTTTAGGATGATTCCAGACTTACGTACATTAGCTGATCAGTCTGAGTGATCATCTCTCCCTCACTTTGTCTCTCTGACTCCATAACTGTAACAAACATAGAGACAGCTTTTATGCCAAATATATATTCTCTCTGCCTCTCAACCCATGGATGTGCTTCTGTAAAGACAATTAACATTGAGTTTAATTCATTTGAAGATTGCTTGGTTTAATCACTGTTGTGTTCAACTTCCAACTCCTGAAACTTCAAACAGTTGAATTTATACTTCTAATCTTAATTAAATAATTTCTTTCAAAAAATAAAATGTAAGCTAGGCATATTGATGCACACCTCTCATCTCAGCTACTTGGGAAGCTGAGGTAAGAGGATTAAAGTTGTGAGGCCAACTGCAACAATTTATTGAGATCATGTCTCAGAATAAAAACTAAGAAAGGGTTGTGATGTAACTCAGTTGTAGAGCAACACTCTGTCCAATCCCTAGTACCAATAAAGAAAGAAATTTTTAAAATTAGAATTTAAGACTAGAGATGTAATCAGTGGTAGAGGACTTACTTGCCCAAAACATGTAAGCTCCTGAGTTTTAGCCCCAGGACTGAAAAGGAAATAAAACAGGTAATTTTTTTCTATTACTTTTCATTACAGAAAATAATTTCTCCCATATTCAGTTCTGACCATCAGAGTACCTTCATATTTTGAGGAGATGTGTATGCATGCTGAAGTAATAATCAGCAATAATTAATCTATTGTTATTTAAAACAAAATCAACTGGAGACCCTAGTGAAATGGTGCATGCCTACTATCCCAACTACTGGGGAGACTAAGTCATAAGGAAACTAATTTCATGGCCAGCCTGAGCACCTTAGTGAGACCATTTCAAAATGGGTTGTAATACAGTGGTAGATTAGCCCTGAGTACAATTCCCAGTACAAAAAGAAAAAAAAAAGAAAAGAAAAATTAGAGAACCAGCATAAATTAACAATGGTAACAATGGTGCTTTCCTCTCTATACTAGAGTTGAGAGACTTCACTTCAGTTTAGAGATGCAGTTGATAAAGCATGATAAATTCATGTTAATTTCTGGTATTTTTCTGTAGTGATCAATATTTCCACTTGGAAACTTTTGCAATTTGTTTGCACATAGTGGAAAACATTTCAACTATTTTGTGAACTGAAGGTTGTAAAGGGACAACATGTAGGACTTTTACATCAAGGGTTTTACTATCAAAGCTATACATTAAAATTTGAAACCAAGGGTAGTGGCACACATCTATAATCCCAGCTGCTCTGGCAGGTATGGCAGAGGGATCTCAAGATCTGCCTCTGCAAAAGTGAGGTGCTAAGAAACTCAGTAAGACATTCTGTAAAATACTAAATGAGGCTATGTGGTTGACTGCCCTTGAGTTAACTCTCCGGCACCCACCCTCCCCACTAAAAAATTAAATCTATGTGCATGAAGACTATTGCATGCATATAATATACTGAATATTATAAGCAACTTATGACTTACAAAATTGATAAAACTGCAGAAATATTTCATGTAAAACCTGCAAAATCTAATAAAAAACAAGGGAATAGAATGAAAATTACTCATATTACTTATTACAATTGCTCTAGTTATATATTAACCAAGGAAATATAAATAGTTTTACTTGGACAAAACTCAAGTAGGTTTCAAGTAGGTTGAAAAGTAAATTTAAAGAATTTTTAGGAGAGAAAGACAGCTTGAAAGTATTTACTCTAAATTCCCAACTCATCAGAGTTAGCTATGAGAGAACTCTGGTGTGGAAGTTTTGGAAAATTTGTTAGTATCACCATGAGCAGTAACTCTCAGGTATGCAAAGCTCAGAAGCTGAGAATTCAAGTCTGCTACTTAGATTACCTTAGAGGTAAAGGCATTCTTCAGACAAGTACTCTTCTTAGATAACTGGGATTCACCTAAGACCATAGCCACTGTTGGTTACCTCTTCTGAAAGTGGTGGGAAGGACTTATAAGATCATACTGATTAGGTTTATGAAGTAGAGTAAAAAATTTTGATGAGGTTTGGGGTCAGATGCAAGAAAGTTTACATGACTTAGGTTTTTTTAAAGAGACATTTTAACTAAAACAATTATTTCATTAAATAATACTTTGTTCTACAACAACAACTTCACAATTTTAATAATTTGCTTTTTTCTTCGACTGCTGTTTAAATTTTGAAATCTCTGATTTATTTATACCTCTTTCTTTTTTTTTCTTTCTTTCTTCTATTTTTTCTTTCTTTTTGTATTTTATTTTATGGTACTGGGAGTTAAACCCAGGGATTCTTTAACAATGTGCTACATTTCCCACCTTCCTTCTTTTCTTTTCTTTTCTTTCTTTCTTTCCTTCCTTCCTTCCTTCCTTCCTTCCTTCCTTCCTTCCTTCCTTC